GTCGTCGAGCCGCCCAGGCGGCGAAGAGGTACCTCGGGCTGGAACACTTCTGGCCCTGCAACTTGGCCGCAGGACCCCCTACAAAGGGATAGCATTCAAACGTCGCCTGGAGGTGTGCAACTCGGAGACTGCATCCGGGGAATCTAACGGAAGGTGCCGGACATCCACAAGTGTTCTGTGGCCTATGCAGAGACTCCTTTCCTGAATGTGCTGTCTCGGTGCGTAGCCGTGTGCCTCAAGCGACACCTCGGACGCCAGACGCCTCGGCGATTGTGTGAGATTAACGGGTCTACCGGAGAGTGCTGATCACGCGTTCCAGCCCCACAACTTCACCATTCAGTTCCTCGTCCTGTGCCGTGGCGCAACAGAGAAGCTGCAGACGCTGCCTCCTCCGCGGCACGTGCCACCTCCACATGCATGTGTCACAGTGACAAGGGGCAACTTTGCAAAACAAATATATGGAAAATGCTTGACAAAGTTTCGGGTCTCAGCAGTTCTTCTTCCTAATTACAGCCGTCACCACGGTACCACGACAAACTTGACGGGCCATCATGGAGCAAGCAACCTAAGTCTTCTCGTCCACACATCCTTAAACACATGCGCCTCAGGAACGAAGCAGCAAAACACTCATTTTTGTTCGCGCCTCTTCATCTCTGCTGCTCGCAGGCGCGGCGAGAGGTGACACCGAATCTTCCATCCCAACAAAGCCCTGTCAACTTCTACTCCCCGGGGATGCACTTCCATGGTGGCGCAGGCGTGCGGAGTTAATGCTTCTGGCATCCGTAACACCCATGTAGTCATGCTTCGCAACACAAGGCAACAATGCGAGCCTGTCACTTCGACATCCCGAGAGGCGGCAGCAAGCAAAAGCAGAAATGCTTTCAAACAGCGCCGCTTTTGCACCCCAGGCGCCTCTTCGCTGTACAACGCTCTTGTAGCGCCCACTTGTGACTTCTGTACAGGACTGAATCGAGATGACTCGCCTCAAGCCACAAGCACAGGATTCCCCAAAGGTGCTCAAAAATCTCTCTAGTAGCAGCCCAGGTCATCATCACCGTAAAGCTGGTCATCGGAATCATCGAGGCCCAGAGTCGGCCTAGGCCGAAACATCGACTTGGACCAGTCCAACTCAGTAGAATCCAAGTCTGTCTTAGGCATGGGCAGCTTCGATTCCACGGAAACAGATGCCTCTGGATCAATTTCAAGTTCTTCTGCCTCCTCCTCGTGGCGAGGAGTATGAAAGAAAGTGGTGGGCTCGACACAGCAGCAGACCCTTCGGGACGCTTGCTACACCACCCAGGCCCAGGCATGCCAAGGCATGCCTGCCTTCGCGGTCTACGGAAACCCAACCAAAAACACTCCGACCAAAAACGTAGAAGGTCCTCGTCATCATCAGCATGCCACATTTCATCCCCAAGCTGGTTCATCACCTGTGCAGCTGGGATCTCCGACCTCATCCTTCAGCAATCTTGTGAAGTCTCGACCCGTGCCTCATCGAAGAAGATGCCTGCAGGCTGCCGCACCAAGGAGATGGCATTGCCGTCGTAGCCTCTGCCCGGTCGGATCGTGCATGCGGCTGGGGTTGCTCATTGCTGCTGCAGCCGGAGAAAAACCTTCTGCTTTTCTCTGCTTTTCTCGCATCGTACAGAGTGCTCACCAATGCAGGAAACACCGGATGTTGGAAGAAAGCACAAAAGTTGCCTTGACAAAGCTCCTACGGAGACCTGTCGAGAAGCAGGTGTCATCGAAGTTGACCATGACGACGGGAATTCCCCGCCGGAGCGCTTCGGCCGGCAACTCGTTAGCGGGGCGAACAATCCTTCCGTCGCCGATGTGCTCCCAACATGTTAGGTTTAAGTAAGGATGCTCTATCTAATTATCAGCTGTGGCACAGAGTGCTGCCAATTACAACGAGGAGGTCCGAGTTCTGGATTGTGCTTCTTGCTTGCTCCACGGCACCATTCGGCAAAGACTGCTCGAACATCACCGTCTCCGTGCGGAGAGGCGAACCGCACTTCGGACAGGTAGGAACATCAGCATCGCCACAAGCTGATGTGTCGCATGCCTGACTGGTTTCGGTATGTGTCGTCACATGGAGCTTCCCCCCAACAGACTGGTCAACACCGTCACCAGGTCGAAATTATGGCGCGTGTTAACTGAGCTGAAGTGCATAATCGCAGGTGCCCTTGCCAAAGGGCTCTGGGTTGAGAGGGGTGCGGTAATCGGAGCATATCAAGCGCCGCATGTGCCCGTGTAGCTCGTTTACCTGCCAAAGGCCAGCACTTATAAATACAGCTCTTAACCGTCTGACGTCTGAAGCTCCGTCCCTGCGAGTCCTGCCTTCTCGCTGGGAATGCCGCCGCGTTGATGTAGTGAATCAATGTTCTGTGTGATTACCCCTTCAAGCCTCCAGTCGGTCACAGTGACTTGCCGCTGCTTGTGACAATCACTGGGCATGGGGTACGGGAATGGAGGCAGCCGATGTCACAAACGCACCACGGAAACGAAACCGGTTTGGCTAAGACCTCACAGTGTCACATGTGCAAGGTTCTGTCCAGCAACTTGCCGCGCTTCTCTAGCTCGCCGAAGAAGCAGTGGGCAGGATTAGGTTCAGCCATGCTCATCTCTTTCATGAGCTTGCGCTTCATGACCCACCACTTCGCTCGCACCTCCCCATCGTGATTGAAATTGCCGACCTGTAAACTTTCAACAGGTCAAGGTGCACCAGCCCGAGCAAGCAAAGAACCAAACTGCTTGTGATGAGAGGCTGTCATTTGCCGCGCATCGAATTCATCCCAGATAGCCCCGCCAGAGTCCGAAGGGCCCGGCTTACGGAACGGTGTAATTCCTTCAAATGCCACATCGCGCGCATGTTCGACCAATCGCACATTCAGCCAGGTTTAGCTGTCCTGATTCGACGGAGATACCCGCACCGGTCAGGGCAACAATTCGGCGTGCTCGTCGAATCATCTTCGCCACCTTGGTCATGCTCCGAAAGGAGAGGAGCAATTGCGTACATTTACAGACTGCTTTGGCTATACTTCATGCCGAGCCACACTCTTGGCATCATTGTGCTGGTGGCTTGGAAGCGAGTACTCCACCCCCAAAGCGAAGTCATCCCGCACAGTGCGTTCGAAGTACTCTACCTTCAGCATTCGCACTTGGTCATGTATCTTTTTCGCTCACACTCGGACTCCCCAGGCGAAGCATTTGATGTCACATGTCGATAGGTGTGTTGCCACGAAGGCCAGCATGTGATGATACAAAATTTCGGCCCGTCTGCCTCTGTCTCGTATGTGTCCAACTTGCTCAAGCCGGACGGATCTCTGACAATCAGCGTCAGGTCCTCTCCACACAGCTCTAAGTTCGCGATACGCAACACGGCTGAAACACGGGGATGATGACAGGAGACACTTTGAGACGAAATTTGTGTGCAGGCCGGTCCTTCTCGCCCAACAGTGCTGCATCAAGTGATGCCAGGAAATCATCAAAGGCGGCATGAGAAGACTCGGGGTAACGCTCCCGTGCCTCCTGGACCTGCCAGACGGTTGCAACACAAGCTCGGAAGATACGCTCGCTTGTTTAGCGAAGAGCACAGCTTCGCAGAAGAGCCACACTCGGATCCTGTTAGGTCAGCTACGTCCTGCGGATTCCAGGTGTCAATTCGTCAACTTGCTATGAAGTGAAAAAAGTTGATTACGAGCTTGTTCGAGTTTTTGCGTCTGGTCTGTGGCGACTCAACCGTTCCGTTACATGTTCGAGTTTTGCGACATGGAGCGGATAAGTCTTGCACGTAACAGACGTAATGAAAGTCTGGGGACTTTCCTGCCACTGGCATGCGTTCAAGTGACAAGCGGCTCAAGAGCCGAAAGCGTACCTCTCTAAACATCTGAGACAAGCCAACTGAAAGCTTCGAAGACCTATTCCGAGCGCAACCTGTGTGTCTGCATGAGCTGACGATGCCAACAAATCCCAACCTCACGGTGAGCGCAGCGAAGGAACTCCGACACCTGACAAGGTATAGCGCAGTGTCGAACATAGCTGAGCCGACAGTGCCCCTGCGGCCTTGCCATCGAAGCCACGATGGCAGAAAGATTCCTGCCCCTGGGCTGCCACGCTCTCTAAAACGAAGCTCTATGTCCCAGCTGCCACACTGCAAAAGCAATCATGTTGGTCAACACGTAGACGTTAGCTAGTCCTGTGCTTCATGTCTGCTCTTAAGGCGATCTCTCTGCACTCGCCATGGCCCGCTGCAATAGGACAGACATGGACACTTCAGCTTCTGAGATGTGAGGCGGGACATGTCGTTCTGGGATGCTCTTACTTCACGTGAGCCATGGCTCCACTCCCAGTTCAGCTAGCTGCCACTGCGCTGTGTTCGCCAAATAGAGCCGTGCACGAAGATCGGCCAGTCGCACTGAGAAGCTGCAGCCTGCAAAGATCGTATAGAACACGCCGAGGGTGCGAGTTCGCGCTATCTACAGACTAGGGTACCACTGGCATTGCGTGTCCTGTCGGCTCAACAACACATGGCTACTTTGGGAAACTTTGCTCGAAGACAAGTGCCGGGGGCGGGGGGGTCTCCGGAAGATTCATCGGTCGCAGCACGTGCTGCTGCGAGTTTCGCTATGACAGCAATTTGGCCCAGCGAGGTCAGTCAGGCTCTACCTGCTTACTCGGCATAGACTCTTGATGCATTTAGATATCTATGTCAGTCTTTGTGTGCGCTAGGTTGATAAGGGCCAGTTACATTTCTTTTCGCAGTTTCCTGCTGTGGGGATCACTGCCACGCCTACAAGGAAGGCCTGCTCACTGGCCATCCACACAAAACAGTCTACAACGTCTGACCTATGTTTCTTTTGTCTAGAAGAAGGAGATCGCCGACAATCATGGTGAGCTAGCAAGAATGTGCACTTCCCTCATGGCAGAAGCACGTAGGATCGCTACCGGGTGTCGGGATGAACTTGAGGACGGCAGTGGGAAAAAGGCAGCCTCTTTGCATTGCGCCTCGTTGCGTCTGAAAGGCAGGTGTGGTCCGGATCTCGCTCGCTCGCTCACAAAGGCACTACACTCGCTCACTTACTCACACAATTACTCCCTCACTGACTTACTCCACTACACACCCCTCCACTCTGCGCAGCCTCCACTAAGGCCACTCCACTCGTTTTCGATTATTTCGCTCCGATCCACTCCGCTCAAGCCTCACTCACTTCTTGTGGTTTCGGCTTTTGAGACTTCAGGCCTCGGGATGGCAGAGAGCGAAGATGATCACGCACATCTACAGCCGACATCTCCGAAACGGCTGCAGATCGGACAGGACACAGGGTGAACTCTTCACGCGGCTGGGTACTACGAGGCTTCTTGGAAACCCTTTTCCCCCGACTCCCATGCAGCCAAGGTGAAGTTATCTCCTTTTCGGAGAGCGCCAAGCATCCGTGGTCGGCTGTCGAGTCTCTCAGACTCTCTAGACAGAGAGGACATTCGCC